TTTCTTTTTAGTTGTGGCATGTGGGATGCCGCCTCTGCGTGGCCTGATGAGCAGTGCCATGTCCGCGCCCAGGATCCGAACCTGCGAAACCCGGGGCCGCAGAAGCAGAGCGCACGAACCCAACCACTTGGGCACGGGGCTGGCCCCATCATTCAAAATTTCTTAACATGATTGTGATCTAGTTTATCTTAGTAAGTATAATGAAAATTTTCAGGCAGAATGAATTATACCCATGCACAGACTGCATTTGGAAAGTTTCTTGAGCATTAAGGTGTTCCTGGTAAGTTTACTTTTAAATAATATGTTTTACAAGACAGTATGTAAAATAATATGGAGCCTTAATTGCTTCAGAGGTTGAATGAATGTTTGTAAATTCATTCAGATTTCCACTAATTAAAAGCATCAGGGTCACTGTAATTGAAGGATAATGGGCAGTGATTTGTATGACTGGTCACACAAGTTACAAACATTTACTGAACACTGAGTATTCCCCAGGTACTGTGTTAAATGTACGACGCATATTCCTGCATTTAATAGTCCTCAACCACTCTGTAAAGTAGATGTGGTCGTTGTCCAGCTTGTGCGGAAGAGGAAACTGGGGCTTAGAGTGTAACGTATCCAAGGTCGCATGGCCGGGCAGTGGCAGATCTGAGACTGGAATCCAGATGCCATTTGAAATCCGTTTGCTTTGACCACTTTGTGTTCTACTCCCCTCCCCTCCACCCTTCAAAGTGCCAGGGGTGGCAAAGCCAATATGATAAATAACAGTAGGAATGATGTTAAATGGGACTACACATTTTTTTGCTCTTTTTTTTTCTGATTACAAAGTTGACGTGCTTATCACAGAATATTTGAAAGCAATAGGAATATGTAAAGAAAAATAATCATCATCTAGACTACCTGGAAAGCACAACTGTTAACATGATTTGCATTTTAGCATTTTCCAAGGTGCATTCTGAATAAGATCCAAGTTAACATGTTTTCTGCAAAAACAACTTCCATGGTCAAATAATCTTGGGAAAGTCTGGGTTAAACAAAATTAAACTGTTTTCTTCTCTTTAGGTCTTTTCAGGGAATTTAATATGCTAATATGCATACTGGGCTTCCAAAGTGGAAACATAGAAAGTAAAAATTTCCAAATTTATTTATCTGAAGAACACTGATTTATGTCTTGAAACCAGTGTTCTTTCAGATACAGTTTTTACGTAATGCTGTGGATAGAGTGCATACTTCCAGACTTTTAAATAAACATTTAGATTTTTAGCTACATACTCTATTTTTATATTCCTTTTCTCCAGTTTTATGTTATAGGTTGTTTTAGTTATTTAAAACTCATTTAAAAATCCTTTTTGAAATAGTTGTAAACAAACCATATGTATGTCTGAGTGTGTGTTTGCATTTTTTTTTTTTAACCTTTCGCCTATTGTGAAACATTTGGGCTATTTCCAATGAAATCCTTAACTGTGGAAGAGTATGAGTTTCAGATTTGGGTGAACGTGATTCCAGAACTGAAAGACTGCAAAGTCTACAGCAGTGAGGAGACCAGCCCCAGGGTTTGTTCCAGTTAGAAACTGTGAAAGCCATCACAAGTTTCAGAGAAATCTGTATGGGATGGCCCTATGACATGCTGTCAGGGAGAGAGACATGCGTAAGAAAGGACATTCTTACTGGGAAATAGGAGTAGTCAGCTGTTAGAATGAGCTGAGAAGGTAGGGGTGTGTGTGCAATTACCTATTTGGTTTGGAAGTACACATTTCTTCAAATGCAGCCTGGGTGGTCCCCAGGCCAGGCTTGGTCTCCACCCAGCAGCACTGGGGAAGCTTGGACGCAAGTGGAGTTCTGGTTATTAGACTTTGCTGAGGTCAAGGATGGTAAGAAAGCTCGGGGTCTCAGGCTCCGTTGAGGAGTGAGGAAGCTGGGCTTGGGGACACGTATGGATTCTGAGAAGGGAGTTTTAAACTTGGATTAGTTGGGGAGGATTGAGTTTGGAGCTACTTAATAGATAACCCATTGTCACAACAACAAAAGTAAGAAATCGTCCTAAAAGAACCAACAGTTCCTGTTTGGTTTTTTTCATTCAACAGGTACTTTTGACAGCTAACTATGTCTCAGGTGCTGGGCTGGGCACTGACAGCTAATTGTATTGAAAATATTACTGTACATTATGTGGAAATTTTATTCATGGGATCAAGTCACTTTGGCTGGAATGAAAACATGATTCAATCTTATTAAAAATACACATCTTTGAAAACCTCCAAGGCAGTGGAAACAATACTCTCTCTGTTTTAAAATAAGTCCAAATCTCTGAATTGCCAGTTACTACGCAGCTTGAAATACTTTTTTCTTTTTTTTGCCTTGGTTAACGTTATATCTGGTCCCTCAGATTTTCAGAAGGTTTACACAAATATAGAACTTGTAAATGTGTATGTGCCCTCTCGCTGCCCCCATCACACTTCTCCCTGAGATGAGTTCTTCTCACTGGACTCTGGGAAGTTGTTAGTATTGACTTTTCTTGGCCAGAACTGCGTGTCGAAACTGCCTCTCTCCGCTTAGGATTGTTAATGGCAAAACTGCCTCACTGGGGCGGTGGATTGCAAGGTTCGAGGACGTGCCAAGGGGAAAATTCCTAAAGGGAATATCCAGCAGCCCAGCAGGTCTGAGGTTCATTGCTATGACAGCAAGAGGTGGTTGGCTCTGGCCTCTTCCTTCCATGCCCGGACTTTCAGGGCCTCCAGCTCAGCAGGCACGGGGCAGAGCTGCCAGCTTGACATCAGGCAGCAGCGCTCACTCTTCATCTGACTAGACTCTAGCAGTCACCTTTGTCGCCTTAAACTTACGACTTATCTATGTGAAATGACAATCAAGAAGCCCTGGGAATAGTCTAAGGGGCACAGGGTTGGCATTTCAGGGAGCCCTGTTGTTAAATTCTGGTTCAGCCTTTGAACAGTTAGGAAATTTTGGACAAATTATCTAACCTCTTTGCATCTGTTTTCTTTCCTTCTTTTTGTTTTTTTCATCTGAAAATAGAGCTACCTATCGAATTGGCTTACGCCTGGGATTAATTGGAAGTGTTCCATGAAATATTGACCAACTAATAAGACTCTCACTGACTGTGATTTTAATTTCACAATTAATTGTAGCTGAATTATTAAAGTTTTTGAACATCAGTCAAATGAAAAATTCACAAGATTGGTTTAAGCTGACCACTCTTGGTTTCTATTCAGTAAATTATAGTTGCTATTTGGTTAAGGACCATTGTTTCCCAAATATAAATAATGCTGTTTTGTAACTCATTAGTTCATAGAATGTGATTCTCTGTAAGCAGATTTTCTTGCCCTTTACAATCGTTAGAAAAAGCTCTACCCGGTAAGATGTGTAGATAGTGAGCACACAATGTGTATATTGTAAACTTTCATTCCTTTTTCTTCTAGGAAAGAAAATAATCAACTAACCAAATATGTTCTTTCACTGGCCTTCATTGTTGGCAGCGGTGCCTAATGAAAAGACCTTATCTTTGAGACTACCAGACAGTTCCCTCTTGTATGAGAAGACTAGATTTTTATTTTGTACCTTCCTATCCACAGCTCAGGTTCCATCCCTTTTTTAGGAAGCTGCAGTAACAGAATATAGGCTGGGAACCTCTCACCACATGGTCACGTACTTTCCACATCTGTAAACTACAAATAGCCCCTTTACGTTAAAAATGCTAGGTTAGATGAGAACCACATATGAATTTTTGGTTGATAATAATTGTCTTGAAATGAATGATTCAGTTTGAATAGGTTATGCATTTCCTTTCTAAATTCTTGATGAGGTTGGTTCTCTTGACAGCACAGATTCTCTTGGGTATGGAGTGTGAGGTGACATCTGCATGAAGATGTTCTTTCTCATTGAGCTTGTTGGTGTCATCTTCATGTCATGTCAGATTCATTTCCACATGGATACTCATCCAATTAAAAATTGTCAATGCCATTTCTGAAGGAACGCAGATTGTTACTTTGGTCATAATGCAAACAGCTGTGTTTTTTCCTCATTAAGGTATCCCAACCAGGTTACCACTGGTCATAAACTATTAAAAATTGGTGTGAACCCTCAAGGTCATCGAGAAGGAAGATATGATCCTGGAAGAGGGTAGCCTACTAAAGTGTGTTCACATTTTGAAATGGTGTATTTTCTAATAAATGCAAGCATTCTTATTGAAACTGGCTGTTATTTGAACTGTATGAACACTTGTCACACATTACTATTTTGTGATTTCAGAGAAGTGGGCAATTTTAAAGGTTTGTCAAGCATCATTGAATTTCCTGACAGTACTTGTATATTTTATGAAAATAACAGGATTTTGCTCTTTGCACTAAACTGTTCCAAACAGAGAAAGAGTACATGAAGTTAAAAAAAAGACAAAAAACAAGGGGCAAAACTAGCTGTTCCTCCCCCACCCCCCCAAAAATGAACAAAAGCCTATAAAATTTTTCCATCTTTTTAAGTCAAGGACACACTTTAAATGACAGTCAATGAAAGCCTGGCCTCAGGATTATAAAGAGTAGAAACATATCCAGTTTCTGAACAGTTATTTCCTTCTCCACTTAACATTCACATTGTGTTTGACACTTGAGCACGTTTCCTGACATCACGAGCCTTCATTGCATTTTTCCAGTTTTGAGTTTGATTAAAAAAAAAAAAATCACTTTCTACATTGTCAAACCTAGATGGTTTCCAGTCTGATAGAGGAAAATGATTATGATTATTTAAATTTGTATTTTTTAGTTCATTGATAATGTTTGAGAAGCTCTTAAAATATTTAATTTTCACTTGCTTTTCTCTTAAAAATTCACCTCATACCCTTTATCTCTTCTATGTTTTTATATTCATCTTTGTCATTGATTTTGTAAGAGCTCTGAATATGTATTTTTCTCTTAAAAACCTATTGAATTTTTATATTTTATGTTCTAAATATTTCCCCAGTTTTATCATTTATCATACAGTTTTGCTTATGGAAGCATTTTAAGCATTCTAGTTTCATATTATTTTAGAGACAATTCCAAGTGTTTTCATTTGTCTTACTTGGAAATGCATGTACGTTATAGGTCTTTGAAATATTCCCTGAAGTTTATGATAGATTAAATATTGGATGAAAACAAACTGAAGTTTATTCTCTTGTGGTATGAGATAGGGTCTAAATTAAAAAAAGTAATTGCCTGAGCATTGTCTATTGAACAGTTGATCTTTTCCCACTGATTTTAAATGGCACCTTGATTATATGTTAAATTTATTTTAATTCATGTGTGTGTTAGTGGGCTTTCCATTCAGCTGCACTGATTTTTATGCTTTTCTATCAATCCAAAATATTTTACTTGCAGTGTCTCTATAGTATGTTTTAATGATCTCGTAGGGTAAGTCATCACGGTCAATGTTCTTTTTAGAAATTCTCCTAGCTGCTCTCAGGCATTTGTTTTTCCATGTTGAATTTAGAATTGGGAATGAGAATTGATTACTTGCATTGAATTTCCATATAGATTTTTAAGGAGTTGATATTACTACCATGTTGAATTTTTCCATTCAGGGACATGTCTCCAGCACTATTTTCTTCCCCTGATGGCTCACCTCTCTGTCATAGGACATCAGATTTTAGAAAAGTATGCCTTTGTAGGTGCCCTCCGTCAAGAGCAAATCATATTGAGGGGTGTTGAATTAACCAAATGTATCCTATTAAGTAACTTTCTTTGTCATTGTGGTTTTCAAAGTGTGATCCCTGATCAGCAGTGTATCCACTGGAACTTAATAGAAATGCAGATTCTCAGACCCACTTCAGACCTACTTAATCAGAAAGTCTGGAGAAGGAGCCCAGCGATCTGTTTTGCATGGGAAAGGCTGAGAACCTCTGGTGTAGTGTATAGGGCATAGGCATTGGAGTCATATGGTATAAAATCCTGTTTTAACCCTTTACTACAGTGTATTTTGCATAAGTTACTTTTATATTTGTCTTAATATCCTCATCTGTAATATGGGCTGTTACAAGAATCATCTGTATCATAAACAAGGAGTGTAGATACTGAGTAGCTGTGATTGTTTCTAATAAGCAAGGGCTGAAGTAGTGCACAAAATAAGTATTAGATAGTAGTGGTGGTGTCTAGGGTAATGGAGGGAAAGGTCTGGAAAGCAAGGGGTGTTGCTGGTTTTGATGGGTTCTAGATAATGGGTGATGCCAAGAAGGGCATAAAAATAACCTGGTATGGGACGGTGAGAATAAACATTTTCAGTCTTGTTCATGGTTGGCACCTTTTAAGTGGGCAGACACACAATGGCATACTATTAGTGAAATCCCTGAATTTCCTGTTAACAATAGGTGGAGGATTAAATTGTTGCAGTTCCATTGTTATATTGAATGAAATTAAAGACTGTTATATTTCTCTAGTTTTAAAAAATTATCATAACAAATTTTTAAGAAATTGAGGGAAGGGTAACTAGAATATGCAAATGAAATAAGGGCTAATATCTTCATTCAAATGGTAAAGATTAAAATGAAAATGTAAATACAAAAAACCTTATCCGTTATTGGCAAACTAGAAAAATGTTAATTTACTCAACATATTGATAAATTACTTTATGCCAGAAACTGGGCTCTAAGTAGAGGGTATAAAATGATGAGTAAGTTTTAAATGTGGCTCATGAGTGGTTCACAATTGGGTGGTAGAAATAGCCAAGTGATGTGAGACTATCAATTGCAAGGCTAGGAATAAAGACAGACGTGGATGGCTGTGAGAGTCTCAAGGCTTCCTGGAAGAGGGAACTCTTGAGCTGATCTTGAAAGACAAGTACATCCAGGAGAAGTATGTAGAAAATGCTATAGGAACTCATTCAGTGATTAGTTCTGCTTGAAGGCACCAAGACTCTTACAGCATATGTGACTTGAAGGTTGAATGGGAGTTGCCGAGCCAGAAAAAACGACAGATATTCTAAATGAAGACCTCAACACACCAGAGTGACCTGAATATTGTGGAATGTGGAGTAGTCTGGTGTGAGTAGAGCATATGGACTGGGCAGGGGCAGGTGAGGCTAGAGGTGAAGTTGGGCCCAATTGCGCAAGTTCTCCTAAGGTTATGGTAGATTGAAAGACTTCTCATTTTAATATTTAGATTTGTTTTTGGTAAAAGTATTTTATCTCAGTTGTTGCTAGGTCTTCATCTTTCTTTCCTTTTTTTTTTGGTAACCTATGTCATTACACTCATATCAGATAGGGAATTTAGGTTAGGAGTTCAGAAAAACATTTCTGTTACAAGTTCATGTTCATATAACACAGTTTTAGTTTGGGTCCTATTCAGCCTTTCTCAATATTAAAGACTTTCAACCTATGGGTGCGAAAGTTCATTAGTTAATTCAGACAAAGCCTCTTCCACCAGTTGGTGTGGCCTGGAATTATTCTTGCCTCCTGAAGCTTCCTTGTTAAGTGTGCTCTCAACATCCATATATCCAGGACTTTCCCCACTGAGCCCCTGGATGTTTCTTATGCTGCACTGGAGTCCTGTCCTAAACTTTTGGTCATTTGGCTGGGCCCTGACTCCCTGGCTAGCTAATTTTTTCCCCTTGTGGCCTGGATTTCTGTGGCCTCAGTAAGCAGTTGTGAGCCTGCTGTGAATCAGAGAGACCATTGGGAATCTTGACCACACCCCTAACCTGACTTATACATATACCACAAGTGCCTTGAGAGCTTGGCTGTTATTTCATCCACCAGCTGACACCCCTTTAATATAGCATAGGTACCCCTTAAAACCAATATTGAACCTATTCTTAGCAACTGTTGGGGGTTATTGTGACTTTAGGTTACACATGACTGGTCAGGCCCTCTTGTCTCAGCCCCACTCAGCCTGCTATTAACTTTTACTCCAAGTAGAGGAAATGTATTTGTATATTATAAGAATTACAAATTGCTAAATCCTGTGGGCTCTTGCAGTATAATGTCTTTTCTTATTTCCATTTTTTGATGTCCTAGTGTAGGCTTGGACTGTTTTGATGGCTCCTTCTTACCCTTAGTTTTTATTTTTTAAGATTTAATATACTACAGGGATATTTCCAAGCCATGAGTCAATTCATTTCAAGCTCCCCTGCTCTCCCCCAAAATAATGTTTGCTACCTGTACAATAAAGGCCAGACTCTGTGGTAGGCATTGAGAATGCATGGATGCCTGGTCCTAACTTTCCTTTCGGGTCTTGGCTCCTACCTACATTCTTTTCAGACCTGGGAGACAGCCTGTGACATCTCCTGAATACTGGGGAGTTTCAACCTCCTTGTTTTTCTCTAGTGTTTCTTCATTGTGGAATTCTACTGGCCCACCTCACTGCCCAGAGGAATCCACACATTTTTCAAGGCCCAGTTCCAAATTCCACCTTCTTCTTGAAGCTTTTATAGATCCTCGAGCCAGATGCATTTTTTTCTTGCCTTTGCTTTCATGGTACTTTGCCTCTAACTCTGCCAGAGCATGTATGACTGTCTATCTTCTATTTTTGTTTTGTTTATAAGCTTGTTTTCTCAAGTTGTAAGCTTTTTAAGAGTGAGATTTAGTTATCTTTTTATCCATGGTAGCACTCCCTCACATTATTTTGTCCATTTGGGTTTTCAATAAATGCTTTGTTTGTGTTAGGATTTTGATGGTCTAAGAAACTTTGGTTTTTACAAAAAGGGGTGCAGTGGAGGAATAGAGGATTTGGGTGAATGCTTGAGGCTGTGTGAGAAGGAATGGTTTGGGAAGGGACACTCTCCATGGACCTTTAACTAGTTATGGTAGTTGTAATGCTTTATTTGAAAATTGCTTGAAAATAGATCATAATCCTTATCATTTATTGATATTATTAATACCAAGTACCTATCTTGGTTTAGCTAATCCTCCCAACAACTCCACGAGGTTCATGTTATATCCCTTTTTATACAGGAGGAAACTCTGAGGCTCATACAGATTTCTTAGCTGAGATTAAGTGAAGAATAGAACCAGGTTTTCATGTCAGGTCTGTCTGATTCCAAAGCCAGCATTCTTCATCACTGTGTTCTGCTTTACCTAAGCATTTGGAAAGTAGGTATTTCTGACCCCACCTTCCTGCTACAGGGAACAAGTCAAGTTCTGCTTCAGATCAGCTCACAGCAGAAAAATTGATTTGTGTGTGCCCATCTCCAAACTAGTGCTTATCAGATTATAGATGCTTAAGAACGTCAGCAAGGTACCTTAACCTATCAAATTGAATTATAGATAAGAAAATGAAGTTAAAAATGTAAATATTGGTTTAAAGACATTTATGTCATGTGCAGTCAGTCGATGGGCAAACACAAAGAATTGATTGATTTTGGCTCTTCTTTCTTTGTTGTATGGTTAGAGGACTGGTAATTAAGAGATCCTGTTGGAGGGTAGTAGAAGATTTAAGAGGACAGTGAGAATTTATACATTTTTCTAGAGTGGAGGGTGATTTACTTTCAAGTGGAGAAGAAAAAGCTGTGAATTGAGGTATTTTTTACATGCATGTCTGCCTGGTTTTTCTTTACATGATGTATGGAAGTTCTGGGGGGGTTTTTTTGTTTGTTTTTCCTCTTTCTTTAACCAAGTAGGACTTCCTCTGAAGGATCTTTTGTCCTCAGAGAACTTTTGAATCAAGGCATCATTGTAGAGAAAAAGAAAGATCAGCAAGATGGATACCTTCTTAGTTAACTATCCATCAATGTTTATATGTTGAGATAAATGTGAATGTTAAATTATTAGATGATTTGTTTATTCAATGACTGTTGACTTATATTCCAGACTCTCTATTGGGACAGGGGATAAGACAGACCCAGTGACTTCCTCAGAGACCTCTCAATTGTTGACCCAGCAAAGAGTAAAGACTCTAATTTTACATATGACAACAAGAGTAATAATATAAAAGTTGACCCACATTTATTAAGACCTTATTAGATGCTAGGTCTTAATGCTAAGTATCTTAAATATATTATAGAATTTTATCTTTATAACAACCTTTTGTGAGAGATCCTTCTGTCTTGGTTCTTATTTATCAGATGAACAAAAAACCTGAGACAATTAGAGGCAGCAACTTCTCCAGGATCATACTTGGTAACCTTGCTACTGTGATCCATCCATTAAAAGTATACGTATATGACTTTAGTATGTTCCATGTGAAAGTGAAAGACTTTCTTTAGAGATTAGTTTTCCAAAACTTCTTGAAAAATAGCGTTCTGTCTGCCTGTTCTGACTTTGTCACGTAGACTTTGGTCTGAATCAAAGATGTGCCATTTTCTTATTGGTTGACCTTAGGCAAGTTACTTAACCTCTCAGAGCCTCTGTACCTTTACCCATAAAATGGGGATTAAAACCACATTTTGCATGTATATGTAAAGCACAGGACCCTAAAATCTTAGTTCCCATTTCTTTTCCTCTTATTTTTCCATGAAATGAAAGATAGTACTGAATTTTTCAGCTTGACTACCAACAATTTGCTTGTAAACAACTTGAGGAGTTCCAGCAACTTAAGAAGTCCAGTTGTGATACTGGAGAGTAAACGTTGGACTTGAAATTGGAAGTCTTGTATTTAGGTTGCTACTTTGTGGTCCATTTCTTATTTTAAGAGGGATGGAAATATTTTCATCTAATAATTAACCCATGACTTTTTATTACTTCTTGATGCTTGAAAGGGCTACCGACTCCGCAGTCAGGCGAAGAGCAATAATCAACCTTTGGGTGTTCCATTTGGATAGTGGGAGTCAGTTGCATAATAGGAATAATGCTGTTTCTATCTCTTTAGCTAAACTAAACAGCCTTGATTCTAGATAAAAGCTTTCCTCACAGATAAGCTTCTGGAGTGCCCAGTTTGACTTTATAATTTCGTAACATTTGGTTACCCCCATGAGGTCTTTTGAAGGTACATGATTGTTTATCTAGTGGTTAAAGTAAGTACATGACTATGAAATCTTTGTTGTTGATTAAACGAAGATGTCATATGACAGTGTGGATTTTTTGAGGGTATTGTTCCGTTTAGCTGTGCTGAAAAACTAGATTTAAAGTAACAACTGACTACAGTGAAGTTGTGTAATACCATATTAATTTAACATTTCCATGTGCATCAATCCATTTGATGATATACCTATATGAATCATAATTAGAAGTATGTAACACTTTCTAAAATATAATTCTGGAGAAATTGTTAAAAAAATCAAGTTTTTTAAAATTTGGAAATTTAATTTTGGTCCTATATGGACTGAAAGAAGTTGTTATTGAAAGAAATCAATGGTGAAATTTTTGGTGAGGTGAATGATCAAGTCCTAATTTATTTGAGTTTGCATAAATGGACTTTATTTGGTTATGCCATATTTATGGGAAAGATACAAAAAAGATTAATTTATTTCTATCTTGGTATATAATGGTTTGCAACTGCATAATAATCCTTAAACAATGACTTTTTTTTTTTTGCTGTGAAAGATTTGCCCTGAGCTAACATCTGTTGCCAATCTTCCTCCTTTTTTTTTTCTTTTCTCCCCAAAGCCCCAGTACATAATTGTATATTCTAGTGGTAATGACTTTCTTTTTATAAGGTCTATGCTATGTTAAAATGAATCCGGGCCCTAATTTTTAACATAAAAATCAGCTAACAATTATCAAGTGCTTACTATATGCTAGACATTGCACTAAGAGCTTAATGTGTGTTTTACTTTTGTAGCAACTCAGAGATGGGTGCTAAGATGCTTGTTTTACAGCTGGAGAAATGCAGGCAGAGAAAGGTGAGATCTTGCCAAAGTTGCAGATTTGGAAGGTGATGGAAGCAGCATGTGGACCCACTCACATTCCCTTAACCGCTGGGCTGCCGTTGCTTCTACGGTATTACAAAAATGTTTTTTCACTTTGCTGTGAGATTTTTTGTGTGTAAATGAAATTTATCTTTAATATTTTATTCTAGAATATAACTAAATAATAGATGTGAACCAAGTAGATTCTAAAACCTTAGGAAGACAGGGACAACGTATGCCTTCCATATTTCCCTACATTGATCACATATGCCTAGGACACAGTAGGCTAGTTCATTCATTTTTAAAATTGAATCAACTAAAACATGCTTTTGTAGAAAGTGGTATAAAAAAATCATATATGATGATTTTAATTTTGTCTGGAAAACAGGCATTCACTATTGAAAGGCGTTCAAGTGTTCTTGACTGATCTAGTTTCTTATACAATGCAATGAGTGTCAGAAACCAAAAGGGTTCTTTTATTTGTAGTGCTGGATGTTGGTGAAAATACATCACAAAATACCTCTAGCCAGTTGTGATGTCTGACAAAAATGCTACCATATAGCATCCATACCATATAGCATTATGAATTTAGATTAATAGTTGTGAGTAGATGTGTCTAGAGTTAGAGTTGGAGAATATAAATGAAAACATTTTATTTTCCTGAACTTTTGCAGACTGTTGCTCAGGGTCTTGACTTACTCTTAGTCTTACCTTGATGACAGAAACCTGGATTTACCTTTTGAATGTGCCACTTTTTAAACTTATCTCTTATTGATTCTATCCTTAGTATATTTCAGAGAGGGATTTTTGAAAATCTAACTTTGATTTTTTTTCTGGAAGTCAAAATACCTTTTTAAAAACAGTAGTCATAGAGCCAAGAAAATTGAGAGAGAAACTAGTGCACATATTTGCATTTGGGTATGGAAAGTAGAGCCCAAAATAGTACACTGGTCACACATGATAGATTTTAGCTCTCTAATAGAGTCAATCTTTAGACATACTGTATTTCATTGAATCTAGGATGCAGTCAAATTTCAGATTCACCATTATTTTATGTACCTCTAAAAGATAAGACATGTCCAATTAAATTGATACAATGCTCTTAAAAATGTTTTTATTAAGGCATGATTTATATATGCTAAAATTTACCTAGTTTAATGTGTAGTTCACATTTGACAAACCCATGCCATCATGACACACCATCACAGCTACCATCGCAATTGAGATATAGAACAAGTCCATACACAACATATTACGACTTAGTTTTTATATTACATTTAATGAAATTGAAAGGTATTTTAAATTAATTTCACGTTTTCATCATGTCATTCTTGTGCAATCTTAAAAAGGAACATATAAACAATAATTTTACAGTTTTTCTTAAACTTCATATTCACAGTCTGACTCTTCTTTTGAATTGAATTGTCAGTGACTGTTATTTCACTCACTCTTGTCCTCATGCAGTCCAGAGCATGGATACAGCACTTCTGGAAATATATTCTACTATGGCTCCTGGGATTTTCATGTCCATTACATAAGTTTCAGCCACCATTTTCTTATTTTAACAACTGTGGTTTTTGTTTTTTCCTCAATAGTAACACATCACTGGAAGTTAAGCAGCTTCGATTCAAAGTCAGTAGGAACTTTCTGACAAATTGATGCTTGAAGCCTTAATGTTAGCCTTGCTGGATGTATGAAATGATTGGTCTCATTAGCTTTTTGTTGCTTTCACATATCTTCATATTGTCCAAGAGATTTGGCAGTTACTTTGCCTCTTGTTGTTTTGCTTGGTTGGCAGTACTAATGTGTAGCAGCAACGATGCACGTAATTCTCTGGGGTTGGCGACAACATGGACACCTGGGACCACATATGGGCATACTTGCATCATGACTATCACCTGGGCAACAGCAACTGAAAGCTGCCGTTGAGTGTAAGATACAACTAGATTTCACACTTATTAAAAAGTGAAAAAAGTGTGGCTTACAATTGGTAAAATATGGTTTTTAGGTCCACCACTTAACAATTTTATGCATGAGGAGATTTAGGTACACAGGGATTAGTTTGGGGTCAATACAGCTCTTTGGAAGCAAAGCTGGGATCAGAAACTGGGTTTCTGTGTGCTCGTTTGAAGTGCTTTTCACAATACTCCTGGGAGAGATGTTTTGTTCTAACAGGAGGTGTGGGATGGTAGCAAAAGGATTGGCTCAGTGGTCTGACAGACTAGTTATTTGCATTTTGGTTCTGTGCTTACTAACCTGTGACTCTCGAAGTTATTTACTTTCTGAGTCTCATTTTTCTCATGTGAGAAATGAGATGATGATGATACTTACCTCAGAGGATTGTTAGGATTAAATGAATACTAGCATAAAAGATTTCACACATTATTTCTCTTTTAATCAGTATTGAAAAAAAATATTATTCTCTTTTCTTTACAAATCTATTACCCTAAAATGAATGGTTTGTAACTCTCGAGACTTTTAAGCTTCTCTATCATCTTCTGAAATTCTGTGTCCCTGTACATGTAGTGATGTGTCCTGCTGTGACAGAAAAGTCCAACATGAGTTTGACCATTGACATGAGATAGACACGTGGTAGTTCCTTCCTCAGTCATGGCAGCTACCTGATTCATAAATGACTTTAGCATAATACTGCTCAAATGTTTAAAAGATTTTTGAAATGTTCTTACACTCTTTGTATTTGTTTTGCAAAGTTAAATGCTGATAAATTCAGAAAGTACAAAACACTCAGATTTCCACCACCCAGAAATCATTTAACATTTTTTTAAGTCATTTTATCATCTTTCTTTAGGAAATAAAACATTATAGGTAACCACCACTCCTGTCCTAGTCACATTGTAGAAGTGACCAATATCGCTTAATAATGTTCATCTTTCTGATCTCATTTTTGTACTTAATAAGTATAAACAATATATGATACTGAATGCTTTTATAATTTACTTAATTGGCACATGCTTTTCATATATTTGTTTATTTTATTTTATATTTCTTTTCAAACAACTTTTGTTTAGGATAGAATTATTTTTTAAAGCTCTTGCTGTGAACCAGATTTCTGACATCTGAATTCCCTTTAGAGAACTGAAGAAAATTCAACAGTAAGAATTTTGAACTTTGGTGATTTGGAGAATTATAAATTTTTAAAATATATTCATGGCATAAATAACAATAAACAACTAACTTTAACGTTACCATAAAAAGAAAATAATTATTTTGATTAAGGTGTTTCTTTTACCTGTTTAAAAATTTTAGATCCTGTATTTTTATTCTATGATAATCATAAATACATTGCTTCAGTCTTCATCAAAATTTTAATAGCTACATCATATTCAATTGCATTGATGTGTCATTTATTTAACTCTTAAATGGCACATGCTTCATTATAGAATTACTTTTGGATTATTTTCTAATAACTTGGATTTTTAGAAGTCAAACTTTTAAGTTTCCTGATAAATATTTGCTTTGGTAATATGACATATAAGCCACACATATTTTTAGAACATAACCCCCTGACCCCAAATCTAATTTTCAAATCTCTTCTTAAGAAAAAAGATCTTGAATTGAATATATCTCAAATACTAGAAAAGGAAAAATATTCCATAGGCGAGCATACAAAGATATGTATCTTTTCATTAGAAGTATAAGTAATGAAAATATTATGATTATAAGATGATATCCATTCAAGTTGAGATTGATAAAAGTGAATAATTCATTTTTTTCTTATCTAACTATATTTTTCTCTTTCATACATATGAAAATATATCTAGTGATATTAAGTTGATGTTTTACCTTTTTCTAAGATAAAATTTTCTGAACATCTCAAAGTAAAATAAGGTACATGATTTTTAATGAATTATTTGGAATTAATTTTAAAGACTTGATTTTTAAAATTCTTACAGAGAGTTTAAGTGAATGTTACTAGAATTGTGTGGCTCTTTAAATACAAAATTCTGGATATATGATATTAATGTCGTGTGAATATATTTATTGCGTAAAATATTGAGCTGAAGTATATAGGGTACTTATGTTTGAAAGATGATATATCATGATCAGGACAACTCACAATAGTAGAAAGATGCTGAATCTGGGTATTTCAAAAATAAATAATCTTGTGTTATATTTAATGAAAATGACTGAGTAATGTAGTATGTAACTGGACAATTTATTCAGAAACTTAAAAAATCGTATTTGTATATAACTTTGAAGTTCACTCGTATAATAGTACGAGAAAATGCTGTGTTCTCTTGTCTAATAGGTACATCAATACATTTGTCTTAAAATGATAATAAGAGACAGATCTCTGAATGAAAGAATTACAAGTTTGTTTTGTCACCATTTATGTTCTTTAGAACCAAAGATATGAAATTTACTTAATGAAAAAGTCAGTTACTTAAAAGTTAAATATCTTTTCGTCATTGTCATTTTTGGATTTCTTAATACTCTGAGACTTGGGTAATTTTTGAAAGACCAATTCTGTAATTTTGAGCTATTTTACATTTAGCTTAGGCATGTAATCCTGTAGAATTTTAAGCCAAGAAATGATTTTTATATTAATCTTCTGATTTTATAGATGAAGAGTAGGGACTTCCCAGAATGACAACCTCAGCAATAGGGATTTTGCTGTCTAGGGACATTTTATTATATAATAAACAAATAATTCACCATCAGATGTTAGTTAATAGTGAATGTTTATTTCCTTTGTAGTTGGGTATTTTTTAAAGTGCTTATATAAACATACCTACCAGAATACTAAAATTTGTAAGCTGCATATATCTTTCAACTTTCTGATTTCTACAGAAATGTGGGCATAAAATGCTGCAGGTTAATTCTTTTCTTAAAATTCATCAAGTATACATTTTATTCATATCTAATTTAAATGATAGAATTTATCCTTTAAGTCAAGAAAATACTGTTTTAGACAAAAATGGAAATATTTAAGGTACTTAATGTATTGGTATTTTTTGAGGATGACAGAATTACAAATGGTCTAGTGCTATTGTCTAATGTACATTGAGACTATTTAGTGAATGTTGTGGAAAATACCACATTGTTTAGCTATAAAAAGAAACATTGTTT